ATTAGGATGAGCACACGCGTGACTCGGCTACTATCTTATGGCAAAAGATGCGGGGACGCAATCCGCGGTTTATTAAACTCATTTTACTTGTTTATGCTGGGATACATGATATAGAAAAGTTGATTTGCGCTGTGTTTTGTGTTGATTTTTATATTTGTTCTCGCCTATTATAAAGTAATGGGAATAATCTTTGATGATTAATTATATCATATATGGACGTTTTAAACTAACGTACCATTAGGGTCAGTTTGTTTGATGAAAATGCATTTCTAGGAAGTTGTTTTCGGACTTTCCGAAGTTTGAAAGGTGGAAAACTACTTAATCGACGAAAAGTGTCTTCTATGGACTAAAAACAATAAATTTAGATTGGGAGTAACAACTTCCCTATTAGCAGGAAGAAAATCGATATCTTTTATTTCTTGTTGCGGGTTTAAGTGAAAGGAATATGTCCCTCCCTGTCGATTTCCTATATTCTTGGTTCTCTATGTTTTCATCAGTTTTTTTCACAAATCTTGTCTAGTATTATATTTCAAAAAAAATGATATACAATATTTTTACAATACGATTTCATAATTTTTTTTTGTAAACTCTTGTTACTTCAATGAATTGCATAATAAACAAAGAAGATTGATTTTTCAACTTGCTTTCAACACAAATATATGCAAAAATATGCTTCAAATTCTCTGAAATTGAATTTTATGATAACATTTTTCAGCGACAAGAAATTTTTCAGTGAAATAAAAAAGCCCTTAATTTTGTTTTCTGTTCTTGTTGACAATTAATATGTTAATATATGTATTAAGAAATCTCATTAGAGTTAATTCATATCTATGTACAAAGATGGCAATAAAGGCATATGTTTCCTTCTATAATATCACTAAATCTTCAAATTCGAGCTATCAAGTTACATATAGTTCCTTTTATGATATCATTGATTTTGAAAACACCATCTATATTGCATATTTATATATTTTTCAACTCTTTAACAATATTCAAATTGTAAAATTATATGAGTCAATTCTAATTGTGCATAATCATAAGGATTACCACAAATTACGCTATTAGTCATATTTATTAATGAAATATGTACGATCATGTAATACGACCTTTCAAAAGTATACTATAAATTTTTGTAGTGATGGTTCTTTGATTTATTTATTATAATTATTTCATTAACTTTGTAATACCCAATTATTTGAACTATTTGAGTTATAATTCGTTAGCGATGACTGTTTTTATTGATCCTCTAATGCCATTTATTTATCAAATATAGGTGTCTTCTTATATAATGTTTAATGCTACTCTAACATCATTTATTGACGCATTATGTACTATCATGTCATAGAGTCCTTTTAAAGTGATTGTCCTTTTCAATAAACTATTTGTACTAATGAGTAATTTATTATTAATTATTTATATTATAAAATATTCACAATCATGGAATATAACTTTCAGCCTTATTTTTATAGATATTTTAACATAGAATCTATATATAAAGAAACAATACATGCATAAGAAATAGAGACGTGGGATTAGAGATTTATTGAAATATCTGCAATATAACATTTTGAGATTTTATGTTTCTCTTTAATTTTCTTCTTTTTACAACTTAGATGTGTGAAAAGCCTTGTTAACATTTAATTTTCCTCTTTTCAGCTTCATTTTTACATAGAAATTTCAATAGAAAAAAATACAATTATTTAAAAAAAATTATCAAAATATGTACGATCATGGAATATTTTATCATGGATTATAACTTTTTTCACCTAATTTATCAAAATATGTGCAATCATGAAAATTTTATCAAAATATGCGATCATGGAATATTTTATCAAAATACAATTATTTATAAAGAGAATCAATATATCTATACACACAAAAGATTTGAAATCGAATATATATATGTGCGTGCGCGCATAAACAATATATGTACGAGAGCTAGAGATTTCCTGAAATGATTATTAAAAAAAGATTGCCTAATAAAGCTTGCCCAAGAGTGTGCCACGTGGCTCAAAATGAACCGCAGAGCAAGCAAGAAAAAAAAATACAGAGCACAGTCGAGCGAGAGGTTGAGCGTTGAACCCTTTCAAGAAGTTAGAATCACAAAATGAACATCGGCTAGGATAAAAATTTTCAATGCTTTAAGCACTCGCTAGCCCTTATTGGCGATCGAGCTGTGAAGAGAGTGATGGGTGAGCATGCCGATGATGGGTAGAGGCCCTAGTATAGGTAAGCCTGAATGGCCGTCAAGACTTGACTAGGTAGGGGTATTACTATATCTAAGAAGGAGAGCCTCTATATATCAAGGTAACAAATCCGCTTCTCTATGGGAAAAATCGAAACAACTCGGGGAGAAACCCCTTGAACGCTCTCTTCTTTTTTCTTGTATTGGACCGTTCATGACCCATACATACAAGACGGCGAGCTTCTGCTTAGTTACACACATGGCATGCATGAACACAATTTACTGTTTAATATAGTTTGAAAGTTTCATAAGAAAATGGTTCTCAAATAATGTATTGCATCAATCATCCATTTATCAATGGGTAATGTAATGCAGTGCAATGGAAATAGTATGGCCAATTCATGCTAAGCATCCTAACCATCAATAAAATCTATTTACTTATCGTTTCGTCACATTCCTTTTGTTTTCCATTTTAATAACACAATTGCAATCTCTCTTTATTTTGATTATAGTTTTTCTTTATCCATCAATAGCATATTCAACTATAGATCCAATATAAATGAGACTTATACTTGATCACGGCTATTTTATCTTGATTGGAAGATCAGAGATGCATTGCATTGCTTGTTATTTGTATATAATTAATTTTGGATAATTGAATGCATCTCATTTTAAAAAAAATTTCTTCAGTACAATATACTTGTTTATTATCTAGATGTTAATTTTAATATTTTTTTAATATTTTGTATTTTTTTAAAGAAATCTTCAATTTATTTATAATTTGAATGTGGTTTCTAATTTAGATGTTAATTATATATTCCATAGTTATGAATTTAAGTAATTCTTTAAGTTTTTTAACTTTTGTAATAAGATGTTTTTATTTTTTTTTTCGTCTTGATTCGTCAATTGCTTGAATGTACGTTAGTTATCTAATATCAACTATCCCATCACTTTTTAATATTTGGTATTCTTATTTGTGGTTATTTTCTCGGACTGGGCTATTCTTTTCTTTTTTTTTTGTAGTTGCCCCTCAATCAACTTGCCACGTGGCAAGTACGCAGCAAAGCTTTCTGTTTTACTCTGTTGTTATAGTCTGACAAATAAATTACCTATTTTTTCCACTAGGAGTTGCTAATTTATTCATATGGTACGACCAAAAGGTGTTCTTTCATCCACAGCAGGAGAAGACGCGTGCAAAAGCCACATAGATATCGAAGACTATAGGTTAACATATAATTTTTTTTATATGTTTTGCAATTATTACTTAGGGTTTCTACTGCGTGCATAAGATATGAGCACCTAGCTTGGATGATAGCAGAGGTTTGGCAAGCCCTCTTCCCCTTTCACAGTGAAAAGAGGGTGACTGCTGCCATTAGCGATGATAGGCGGTTGAAGACCCTCTACTAGTGGAGGCAGAGGGTGTCAACAACCCTATGCATGCCATGTCAACACTTTGCTGCTAGATGATTGGTTGGATTTCAATTAAAGTGCACGGATTTGGAAAGAAAATTGAAACCTTATTGCATTTGGCACTTGAATTAATCTTTGCCCATTTTATTGCAATTCAATGTTTAGTGATAACTGGTGAAATTTTCTCCTCTTTTGCGGTACTTGAATGAACGTGGATTTAGAGAAATGGAAAGGGGGAGAGGGTGATATAAGATTTGTTATCTCTTAAGATCATGCAGAAAGCGATTTAGTGTAAATCTCTCAAGTCAAAATCTGTATGACTTGTCCTTGATTAGCTAAGGAAATTGAATTCATTTCATGTCCAAAAGATAAATCAGAATACAACATGACCACGATGCCGAAAAAGTATCTGGACATGGAGATTAAAGAGAGAGCCCAAGTCTCAAGACATTAAGAAAGTATTTGGCTCAACCCAATTTCACTAGCTATTACTTTATGAGTACTCAATAGCATATATTATTTGTTTCATACTATATAAATTATCCCATGTTGATTATATTCACCTGTGACATCCTCACATGTGTACCTAAATTATTCTTTCTATGAGCCTCCAATTCCCTTCTAATGCAAAGTAGGTATTTAATTGCACCAACATATTCCCATAAGAGTCTTTGGAATACATGACATCTGATATTCTGATTCATCAAAAGTATCTGTCCTATCAATGATATCTCCACAATTATAAACACGTAACATCCGATAAATCTACAAGATTTTCTCCCTTGATATATATTCTATACATTGATAAAAGCTGGGAATCTCATCCAATATATTATCGACTGTGATGCTGCTTATTGGTACTTGCAATTGAAATTTGATAATTTGGGAAAGAGCCCTAGTTCATGTCTACTAAGTCATGAGGTACACTAGATATATAAACCACTACATACATATTATTCATGTGACATAATTCACCAATTATACGCACGTTATCAAAAGACATTGAAAACATATATATGTTTGAGGAACAAGGATTGCTTTGTGAAGCAATGTCTCAAACCCTCACAGTGAGTATGCACGTTTATAATTTATCATGTCACTTTCGTACAGTCTTTATCTTGCTATCAGCACTTTTAAGAAAAGAAAATGAGTCGATTCGCTTAGATTTAGTCCACATAAGCCTTTCGAGCAAGGCACACCGGCTTGCATTAAATGCTCCTCTGGATCAGCATATAATACAAAGCGTATAACATATAAAAAGGGAAAGTATATTTAAATAAGAACCAAGTTTCCTTTGTTGCTGTTTGCTGGTGTTGGGAGAGAACAGAAACATCCAGAGTGCTGCCATTACTAATTCCTAAGCTTTCTCTCTCTCTCTTCTCTCCTCTCTCTCTCTCTCTCTCTCTCTCTCTCTCTCTCTCTGCTTCTGATGCCCTTTGTGTGTGGCGGGTTCATTACATGTCCTGTCACCACTCCAATCCCTCCCTCCCTCCCTCCTCCTCCTCCTCCTCCTCCTCCTCGATCAGCTTCATATAGTTGTTCTTCAAGCCAAAGGTAAATAGAATCACCTGAGAGAACTGGCCAAGAAAAAGGAAACCCAATTCTCCTCATTTTCACCCATCATCTCTCTCTAGCTAAAACCCTAGCTCCATAGTCCACACATGTATATATATCCATGGTGGTGCTAGTAGCTAACTAGCATATGTAGGCTTAGGAATTATGTTGGGCTCTTTCAGCTCTAATAATTCCCATGAAGAAGAGGAACAAGACCATCATCATCATCATCATCATCACTCAAACTCGCCCTCAGATCTGCATCATCATCAGTATCACCACCACCACCACCACCTCATTCCCCACCACCACCCTCCACCTGCCCTCCCCTCTCCATCTTCATTCCCCACGCTGCCGTCCACGTCATCGCCGTCTCCGTCGTCCTCTGTCATTAACACCCGCCAATTGCTCATCACCTGCGCGGAGCTCCTCTCCCTCTCCAACTTCGCTGCTGCGCACCGCCTCATCTCCATCCTCTCCGCCAACTCCTCCCCCTACGGCGACTCCACCGAGCGGCTCGTCCACCAGTTCTCCCGCGCCCTCTCCCTCCGCCTCCACCGCTCCGCCGTGGCTGCCACCGCGCCCCCCAACAGCAGTTCCCTTCTTTTCCCTTACAGGAGCAACAGCAGCAGTACTGTCTTGGGATTCAGCGTGGATTCCACTGTTAGGCCCGGGCAGGGATCGGACCCGAGCGTCCTGCAATCGTGTTACCTAACCCTAAACCAGGTCACGCCCTTCATCCGGTTCAGCCACCTGACGGCGAACCAGGCGATTTTGGAGGCCATCGATGGACAGCGAGCCGTCCACATAGTGGACTTGGACATCATGCATGGAGTCCAATGGCCTCCATTGATGCAGGCCATTGTGGAGCGATCAAGCACTAACGACAGAAATGCTCTACTTCTCCCTCCGACGCTACGAATCACCGGGGCCGGCCACGACCTGGAGGCCCTTCACCGCACGGGCGACCGGCTCTCCAAGTTCGCCCAGTCCCTGGGGCTTGAGTTCCAATTCTGCCCCCTCCTGCTCCCACACGACGCCCTTTCGGTCGCCCTCCACGCGGCGATCCCCTCGGAGATCTCGGCCCTCCCTGACGAGGTCCTCGCCGTGAACTGCGTCTTGTGCCTGCACCGACTCCTGAAGGACAACGCGCGCGATGTATCGATCTTCCTAAGGAAGATCAAGGCTCTGAGGCCGAGGGTGGTGACGGTGGCGGAGCGGGAGGCGAGCCACAACCACCCAATGTTCCTGCAGCGGTTTGTGGAGGCGCTGGACCACTACACGGCGGTGTTCGATTCGCTTGAAGCGACACTGCCACCGAGCAGCCGGGAGCGGCTGGCGCTGGAGCAGGCGTGGTTTGGGCACGAGATAGCGGACATCATCGGGGAGGAAGGCGAGCGGAGGCGGGAGAGACACGAGAGGTTTGAGTCCTGGGAGGTCCTGCTCCGAAGCTCCGGCTTCGTGAACGTGCCCTTGAGCCCTTTCGCTCTGTCTCAGGCCAAGCTGCTCTTGAGGCTCCATTACCCATCCGAGGGTTACCAGCTGCAGATCAGGAACAGCTCTGTGTTTCTTGGGTGGCAAAGTAGAGCCCTCTTCACAGTCTCTTCTTGGCGCTGATGATCACTCACTCACTCACCAATTCACAATATCAATTGCTCATCAAACCCTTCATATAATTATAACCCCACTTCGCTCTTTCTTTCCTTCTATCTTGTATATTACAGTTTTAGAGAGGCTATAGGCTCAAGCTATCTCAATCCCAGAAAAATAGAGAGCCCAAAAGAAGCAAAAGAAAAGGATGAGGGCTTTTGCTGATTCGGAGAGGTTGTACCTGCGTGAATCAAGAACCTCTTTAGAACTAGGAACAAGAAGAGTAGAAGCTAACTTTAGCTTAGTCTCAATTTGATCTACCATACGCGAAACTTGACCTAAAACAAGATTTTGCATGCATGGTTGGGGTTGTTTGTTGCATGAGAAGTTTCTGAGAGAAGAAGAAGCATGGATCGCGAGACGAAATCATCAGATTGACCAGCTAGCTCAACGTGGACGTCCTCGCTACTACATCGCCATGCGCAACCTTCGTTTGATCAGCCGGTTCTTTCCCCATTTTTATCTTGAAGAACTGAAAAACTCAATTCTTATATGCGATTTTTATAGTTTTAGTGTACTAATATACTTGTTTACCCTTTTATATTTGGCCACTAATCCTCTCTCTCTCTCTCTCTCTCTAAAATGTTTTTCTTTGTTTTGTTTTGTATTGTTAAATTAGGACTGTAATGTACGAACTCCACTTTGGTTGCCACTGTTGTGGAGCATATTTGTATTTTATGCGATTAAATGGAAGTAGCCGATTTTGAATGGTTGAAGCACCATTAATTTTCTAGATGGTTTTTGTGTTTGTGCTTTTCTTTGCACTGTTGTTGTCAGTGTGCTGTGGAGTGACTCTTTTTCCCTTCCATCGAAATTTCTTAATGCTGAATGATGCCTCCTTTATTTTGGACGACGACGACGACGATGATGATGATGATGTGTTTTGTTTATTATTGATCGAAAGTCTTATCTCCTGATCTTTCTCTCAATTAATTTAATCGCAATCGATGTGATGGCGGTGACTGCCTTCTTTATCACGAAAATGTGCCATTCTTGTCAGCTGAAATTCTCTCTCTCTCTCTCTCTCTCTCTCTCTCTCTCTCTCCCCATCTCTCTTAGTCTCTCTCTTATAAATATATCGATTTGAGTACGATTGGAAATGTTAAGTTTGATTTACAAAATTAGCATTCACAATAATCATGGTAGACTTTTACAAAGTACGGAATATGACCCGTTTACTTATAGACCCCTCCTATAGTTTGCCAGACTGGTTAGCATGTTAAGTTTGCAGATTTTATGTCGGTATATGTAGAGCATTGCATGGGGTTCTGGTCTTACTGAGAAAAGAGTAGCGAGAGTGATGAGTGAGTTTGCATGAGGGTTCTTGTTTTGAGGGAAGAACAAACAACCGTGTGATACAAACTGTTATTTTTGCACTTGTCTTTTTGAGATTGAAGGGGGGCATTATAATAGTATATTAAAATTATTATTAGGAACCAAACAATCCCTAATTTATGCCCTGTGTCCCCCTCAACAAAACCATGAAAGTTGTCAAAATAGAGGCTACCACTGCCCACCCTTTGCCTCCCCTAGGACCCTGCAACCTTTTTGAAGGCACACTTGTGCTTTGGTATCTCTCGGTTCCTGCGGTTTTTCCAGGACCACCTCCACTTCATTATTTATTTATTAATTCTTAGGCTTTGTCTCTTGCTTATGGCTTTAGAGCAAATCCCACTCTTTAACATCCTTTTCTAAATACCGACCAAAAAAAAAAAAACATCCTTTTCTAAATATACCCATAATCGCTCTCTCTCTCTCTCTCTCTCTCAGGTATGAGTGAGATGGGTCGATGATTATACGCTGCATCATTAAACGAATTTGCTAAGGCTTAAGCTTGCTTGATTTGTAGACTTCGGGAGGAAATCTAATTCGGTCGACCTTGATCTTTCTTTGTTGCAGCATGGAGTGATCGATATGTTTGAACTAAACCGACTTGAGTTTTTTTAAAGCGTTCAAAATTGTCTTATAACCTTTACTTGGACTTGAACTTGGATTTGAGTTTGTGTAGTTGTTCCAATGGCTATCTGATTAAAAAATACTTGGGTACTTCTTTAGCACAAGAAATACAAATTAGCAGAAAAGTTTACGCATGATGAGTAGTAATAGAAAGCTTGAACTCCACTCGACGCATGATATTTGAGCTACACAAATATCCAAAACCCCCGAAACGAGTCATTGACCTTGACCATTCTTTTTGTGATCAACTCCTTTTAGTCATAGGTACCATCAATGGTGGATTAAAAGAGAACATACTATAATCATAACAGACAAGCCACAATTCAAAACCCGTTGTTTTCGGTGTTAATGATAAAAATCGGTCTTAATGCTCTCTCTGTGATTATTCCATGTAGTGTTGTGTATATTAAGACTAGTCTACAACATCAATATACAAGTTGATGCAAGAGATCATTTGAGTTGGTGGGTCATATCAACACATAATATGTCAATTTTGTATTCCGGTGTTAAACTATATAGCATTATATTCAAAGTATTTTCTTTCCATATCAAGGATCACGTGGGTTCTCTTTCTAATTCATAAGCATGAAGCATTTCATTCATTCGTAAAACTCGCAAAGAAAGAAAATATCCAAAACTCCCGAAACTTTGACGATAGTTCAATATTGATACGTTGATTCACATATAACTTTTTTTTTGCTTATTTTTATGTCTAAACAAACAGGCTCTTAATGTGTCTCTATCAATGACCTAGAAGGTGGCAGTGACTTGTTCATCTCAGTGATTGTTGAACAAAAGGAAAATAACCGGAAAACGTGTTCTAATAGCTTGATTCCTCCTATTTTCTAGTAATTGTCGGTTTACTCTTACTTCCCAAGTTTCACCCATTTGCGCCGAATGATCAGCCCTAGCCACAAAATGAACAGGATCAGAAACATGCATCCCACACAGGAAAGAAACCAGGGAACATCCCCTTGACTCACTCGGGAGATCAGGACTTACTTGAAAGAGAGAAGTGAGCTCTGATCCTTGCTGCCGTGAGAGCGGTAAATTAGGGTTTGCGTGTGTGAATTATATATTTTGAAAACACTTCTCAAAACCTTCTGTTCACTCGCTGACATTGATAAGATGGTTTGTACGTGAAAAGGGTTAAAAAACACTTCTGTCGCATGGCGAGACACTCCTTACTCCTAGCAGATCTAGAGTAGGTAGTTAGCTTTTGCATCTTCGTAGTTATAAATGAGATGGTTTTGATATATAAATATGGATTAATACTAAGACGAATCTCAAATTAATATGTTTGCGATAAATTTACTCTAAATTATTTTTTTGATCACAAAATATCCTAAACTGATATATCTATGACAATTTAACTCCGAACTATTTTTTTACAGCAAAAAACCCCACACTGGTACACCTGTAACGATTTTACCCCCGAACTAATTTTTTGACCATAAAAAATCCCAAACTGATACACCTGTGACAAATTTACCCTCCGTTAGTTTCTGTTAAATTTTAATATTAAATTGCTAAGTTTAATGACAAGTGGTAATTGATAGGTGTACCAGTTTTGGGTTTTACCCCTCTGTTTGTCACAAGTTTATCAATTTGTGGTTTTTCGTAATATTAATCCAATTTAACGGACACTACCGGAGAGTAAATTTATCACAAATGTACAAGTTTAGGGTTTCTAGTGGTCAAAAAATTAGTTCGGGGTAAAATTATCACAAGTGTACCAGTTTGGGGTTTTGGTGGTCAAAAAAATAGTTTGAGGTAAATTTATCACAGGTGTACCAGTTTGGAGTTTTTTGTTGTAAAAAAAATAGTTCGGAGTAAAATTATCATAAATGTACCAGTTTAGGGTTTTTCGTGACCCCCATCACGTTTTATATATAGTTTGGAGTTTTATATATCAAAGTTCATTACAATTTTCAAACTTCATATTGACCCCCATCACGTTTTTTACTATGGTGACTAACTCTATCCTCTATGCTAATGACAGAAACGAGCTTCTCTCTTTTGGGTGCCATCAATGAGACGAAGCGAATTTGCAGGATATACATTCACGAATTTTCTTACGGTACATAGATAGCGGGATTCTTCTTATATCCAAACATGGTCTTGAGATCGAGACATGTGTGCATATTTGTGATTTTTCCGATGCCAACATGTGTCTTGATCTCAACATTATTTGCGAAGGAGAAAAGATTCCTTCTGTTCTGTCTTTAAAGAAGAAATCCATCTATATCTGGTCCACTCATTGACTTAAAAATGAACGCAGCAACCATCCATAGCTGACTCTGGGTATTAACCTTTTTGACCTGTGTTTCCTCTTGAGAAGAACCCCACCAACTCAAGTTTGAATCTTTTACGGGCATTGATGAGTAATTGGCGCACCTTTTGTTCCCTCAGATCGACAAATCAAATAAATATTTCAGTGATGAGCACATTAGGGACACAAACTGGGAGTATCTGTCAAAGTGTTTTGATCCGCCACAAGCGATTAAACTTTTGTCTGGGGCTCCCTCAATCATTCAGTGTTGCATCAGAAAAGCAGGCCGTAGGATATTCCTCCTATGTGTATTAACATATACTAACTGTGGATGTTTTGTGGGCACCCCTCTTCATTAATATATGCCCTATTTGTGTATTGGTCTATCTTGAGATCTGTTATTATTGGGTTTCTCCTTTCTAAATTATTTTTTCTACCTCTGTCGTGTGCCCATGAGTGTTGAACTTCAGCTCCACTTCAGACACACACTCAAGATGTGATGTGTGCTCCTCAATGCACTAATATTATTGATGGACGAAATGAATCATACATATGGTTGTGTGGTGATGATGGGTTACACCTTAACTAGTAGTTTTTTTTTTCATGTGGTCATGTTTTTCTCCATCCCTGATTGGAGATCGGTCTTCTGATTGGCAGGTTACGTACATACATATAATTTATAATGATATTTAGTTACGTTTTTTTTTTTTTGATAACCCAGGGAACCCCCGCACGGCCGACAGCCGGGAGGTAAACCCTGGGGGCGACACGTGCTAGCCACCACACACGTGCACCGGTTAAGTCACCCTGCAGCACCCGGGATTCGAACACTCAATCTTTTGCGAGAGGAAGAGTGCGCGCTCCAGCAGCGCCACCCAGATGGGTGGTGATATTTAGTTACGTTTGTATGTAGTGATGTCAATAACTTGGCTCCCATCAATAAGAAGTATGATTGAAGGAAGATATCCACTAACAAGGACGGAGAAAAATATAGCATTTTCTTTCCCATGCTCGCCTAGCCGAAAAGCTAGATCAAGCAATCAAGGTGATCCTCGAATGGCCCCAAAATAGAAGAAAGAAAATCAACTGGCGAAATTAAGAAACATGAACAAACGAGATCCGAATCTGTATCTAGAGTTTCTGAATGCGTAATCCCTCGAATAAAAAAAGAAAAAATTACAGAAAACCCATGACACATGATCCTGTTTCGCCGATTTTTATTCCGTCGAAAATATTTTACCGAATGCTGCGTTTCGGATTTTATTAGAGGAGACCAAGGTCTTGAGTCAAGCTTGGACAGAGAATGTCAAATGCGTTTATTAATCCCAATAGATCTTACACCCTGACTTGATATGATGCCAAACTCGACAATACATTCAAAGTACGCCAGAATTTAATCAATGACGTAACTTGAGAGAATATGGCTGGAATCTAATCAACAGCTATACTCTAAGCATAACGTCGGAATTTAATCAACGACGCTGAACTGGTGGCACAACATTGGAATTTAATCAACAATGTTGAATCTGACAAAGACTCTTGTCGGAATTGAATCTACGACGCAGAATCTAAAAATTACAGTTAAAACTACTCCTAATGCGCTAAAAGTAAAGCTAGATAAAAGATATGTTGTGTTGTTTACGAGAGAGAGGTCCTTTCTGCGTTGGAAATCCTTGAGTATTTATAGAGCAACTTGATAACTGTTGACTGAACACTTCTCCTTGAAAGTCGTTTTCCACTTCCTTACGTTTCGCGCTTTAACCGTTTCCCGACTTGTCGACATCGCTTACGCTCCTTGGGCATCACGTAATAGCTAATTTTTTTCCACGTGTCTCCTTATTTCTTGTCATTCTTCACGCCCACGATCATATTTTTACCTTTTGACACGTGTAAATGAATTTTTCGTCACGTATTACCATGATTCCGTGCAAAGCTCGTGATTTTGAACCTTGTCGACGTCACGTACAAAGCTTGTGATCTTGGATTCGTCAACGTCACGTGCAAAGCTCGTGATTTTGAACTTTGTCGACGTCATGTGCAAAACTCGTGATCTTAAACTCGTCGATGTCACGTGCAAGGCTCGTGATTTTAAACTTGTCGACACCTCTATGATGTGTCCTGTCTATAATTACCTTAGGTCTTCTTAATGCCTCTGGGCCTGACTTGCGGCCTTTTTCGGATTTTCGCCATGTGGGCCGTACTTTATATTTTCTATTACTTGTGAATGGCCCACTCCTACCAGGGATAATTTTGGGTGTCAACAGATCCATTAACACCTGGATTTAGCATTGCATTCGTGAAAGAACTGTAATAATCAAGGATATTTGAATGGTCAGTGATGTCTAGTATAGTCATCATGTGTTAGATAACAATCACACGAACGAGGCACCTTTCTACTGTTCAAATATATCAGATGTCTCATACCAGTTCCTTCAATAATGCTCTTGATGTCTCCAGGAAGTACATATACTGCTGTGTCGCGCACTTGGGTTCCAATTGAGAGAATTGTCAAAATTAGCACCAAGAGAGAGACTAATCAATAAGTGCAATTCCAAAAGGCGCTTAGCTTTATCCACAGGTCCACTCTCGCACAGAGACAGAGAGAGCAGCATCAATCAATGATCACCTTAAGTCAACCCACTAGTCAATACTGATAAGATAGCAGAGATGTTCAAATCTTTTCACTCCCCAGCTGACATGCATGTTTGTTTTCTTTTTCTTTTTTAATTTTTTCCATCAACAGTATCTAAATGCCAAGACACTATTCAAAGATGCGATGCGTGACTAATGACAGTTTAATTTGGTGTAATCAGAAGGAGAAAGAAATTAAGAAAAAGGGTGTACATAAAATATTGGATAGGCAATGTATCACTTGCAGAAAAGTACCCAAGATTGATTGATTGACTGATTGACCGATTAAGAGCAAAAAAAGATGGTTAACCTTGCTCAGCTGGAGGGATACTGTAACGTCACACAATCAACGAGACACTTCGGCAATGAAAATCTCTGCCTCACCGAAAAGACTCAGAATCAACATCCAAAAATATCAACCCCCAACTCTCTGCGAGAGCATCTCTGCTTCGTGCATATTTCTGATTCAATAGCAAAAGTCATTTGTGCAAGTATCAGCCTGCCAAGCACACCCCTACTGTTTGGTAGGCCCCCCTTAAAGGCCACTGTGCACCAAGCACTGTTTCTTGGAGTTTCTTGGAGTTTCCAGGTTTGTGGAGGATCTTCATTTGCTCACCGTCTCACCAGGTTCTCATTTGGTGCCCTTTGTCATATAATTTGGACTGAAAGAAACAACTCAATCTTCCGCAACAAGAGTATTTTTATTCCTGGCATGCGCAATCATATGATCAAAGTGGTGAAGGATAAAGCTTCAACCCTTGGAAGAGTTGCAGACACGCCAATGAATAGGAGATTACAAAGGAGTTGGGGGCTATCATCTTCCATTTTTTCTTAGTTCTTTCCTTTGGTTTCCTTGTTTCCTTTGGTCCGGTGTCTCAGGTTGCCGTGTTCCTCTGGCTTGTAGTGTCCTTTGGGTCCTGGTTTTGGATTAGCCTTGTTTAGTGCTCCCGATTCTTCTCTCGGGGCTAGGTTGTCTGTTGTTTTTGTATAGTCCTTGCTGGACCTTTCTTGACCCTTTCTGGACAGTTATGTCCTAATAGGGTCAGGTATTGGTTGGAGCTTAGCTTGTAATTGGTTTTGAGAAAGTTATATATATACTTACCTTACCAAAAAAAATATTTCATGACAAAACTATGCAGATGATGGGGCAGATTATGGATTGAGTCCTCATGCTTATTTAAGAGCGAAAGGATTGATCCGATTAGCATGCAAAGGATTGGATGATACTCCTGCTGACTTGCACGTCGAACGTGTGTCTCGTCCCGAATAGCCGCATGTCATGAATAAAAGCGCGGGACATGGACATGCATATGAATTTCGCATGAACCCATTATATCCAATCATTGCGATAGATTTAATTACCAACAAGAGGATTTTAATTTGTTTAAAACCAAGATGATCTCAATAGATTCTCTTGGGTGAATATGATCCTTATCCCATCATTGCAAACTGGATTACATCAAGCGTTTCCTGGTGCTTCTCTGTTCACTTTGTGTGTGTGTGTGTGTGAGAGAGAGAGAGAGAGAGAGAGAGAGAGGTGAAGTGAAGTGAAGTGGGGTTTGGACACTATGGTGAGGAGGGGGGACGAGGATCAGGAGGAGAGCGACAGTCAAGATTTTCTGCAATAAATAATGGGGGGGTACTGTCTGGAAGCAGGATTCTCATTTTCAGGCACTATTACCGACTGATATGTGTATGTACATCACATATATTATTTGGATAGACAAAATTGCGGGTATCGTTGATTGACGAGCCTTACAGTATTGTCCTTACTCGTAACAGTTTCGTGTTCGCGCAAAATATTCGATCTAAGCATACGTTCATTTCGCTGAGGCTTTTGCTAGAAAGGAAAGTCGTTTTCTCCCAATTTATGTTACGGATAATATTTTTCGTAAATTAATTAGTTTTCCATCTTTCAAACACCAGAAAATAGAAAAATAATTTTTTGTAAATAATTTTTCTTCAAACAAACGGACCCTAAGCGTGTTTACTTAACACCATCCGATGCCGCTGGTGAACCTATTTTACAATAAGCCCATCAAGATGCTTATAGTAATGCACCGTTACAAAGCGATTTCAACCTCTTCACCTCACGTTTCATGGGACATAATCGACCGGGCATTGAATAGAGGGAGAGAAAACAAGCAAAATCAAAGATTCAGGCATGCAAATTCTTAGTAGGGAGTAGGGATCATAGGGGAATGGGGGGGGGAATAGGATGTCGTGGGGACATGCTTGCTGCTGAGCTTTAGTGTGGACGGGACCCTGGCGCGAGAAGTCAAGTGAAAAGAAACGAAAAAGGAGAGAGAGCAGGCAGGTCTGCATTTATTATGTGGAGATCGTACCATTCCTTTGCTCAGACAACATGAACCTAACACCACATGAGATATCATTTCATTCATCAAGAGAAAGAGAGAGAGAGATAGAGAGAGCAACGAATCTTTTCATCACGATCATGTCGTGTAAAATAACCTTCCAAGGCACAGGATGATGACTAGCGCAATGCAAGCAAGCAAGCAGGAAAATTTCTAATACCAGGGCCCGTAAGTGTCCGTGAAGTGCTTCGAACTTGCAAGTAATGACAATAACGAGTGATTTCGAAGGTTTTTCGCGGGTGAATTGATGTTATTCTATTTGGATTTACAGTTGAGTAGTCCCAAGCCCGTTAAGCCGTCTGGCGGCTGCACAGAGCAGAACGAAAGAAAGACCGTTTTCAACTACAGTAGCGCCAGTTAAATGCAGCGACTGGCCATTAAACATGACTGGAAAAATGTTCGTAACTTGATACAAATGCACATTCGGTTTCCAAATTCCTCTATGATGCAAATAGTCCCACCTTACTTGGGCGCTTGCACTTTCTTATGGTACTGACTACCAAGCAATTCAGAAGGATGTAGTCATTGCCGAAGATCCTAACATCCAAATTGCCAAAGGAGCATGGTACAAATTACTTATTCTCGATCGAATCATCTAATGCACAATGCACTGGAGGGCGACCAAGGACCCATAGCAGAGGGGTGTGAATGCCTTGGGGACTTGAAGCCAGTCTCGCCTTGTGTGCAAAATCCAATCTAGTGAGCTCCCATTTCTTCAGGTTTTGGCCACGAGGAAAAGCTCATCATTCTCCCAATAGAGTAACCGCAACCGATGCACAGAAGTGTCCTACTATTGGCGAAGAACCATTATTACTCCACATTTCCCAAAGAGCACAAAACCCATATCTTGTGACAAACCATTACTCAGCCACAGTTCTGGAACCAATAAAACCATCATAGGGGGAACTCCTTCTGCAGAATGTCCAAATTCCGCGAATCGCAAGCATTCAGCATATCGTGCCTAGAAGCAGAGCTGCAAAGAAGACAGCATGGACAAAGGCAGATCTTTATATGCTGCACGAATACTGCTATCAGAAACCGACTTATACATTGGACAAGGTCATACCTTAACGAGATTCTTAAGTATTGCCATGCATTGTCCGCCTTTGGATTCATGGAAAGTGCACGGACGTAGTAACGAATAGAGTCTTCGTACATGCCCTAAATGGGGAAAGAACATAAGTGGTGAAAGACATAGTGCTAGAAATTTTCCGTATATTTTGTGGATTATTATTGCCAAAAGCTTCTTTGCGAAGAGTGTAGACAGTCACTACATACCACAACCAAAAGAAATGCAAGAAAGTATTTTACAGCAATTCCTGACACAACATGAAAAACAAGTTGAATACGATGCATATTTAGTGAGAGAAATGGAAACCCGATGCCAACACAACAGGGCAGAACTAAACTTGAAACTGACGTCAATTGACACATTTTCACCGTTCTCTTTTTTGTGATGACAAGAAATGACACGAATAGTCAACATGAATACAATGACCCAACATGAATTGCCACTCTAAAGAATGTTCATCTCTTCCCATGTATCCTTATCTTATGAATTCTAGCAATAAGGACAATCAAATGATCATAGAAGTTTGACCTGTCTGGATAGACCTTTTTTTTTTTTGGTTTTTTGCTTTATCTAAATCTTGCAGTGGACGCAATTTGACCTATTCTAAGCTCAAAGCACTTGAAGCTTTTGCAATATACAAATGTACAACCACATATAATTTTTTCTTAATTTTTTAAATTTATATATTATTATAAACTTCAATGGGAAAACAAAAAGTTACTATTTGCTAATTAAAAACATAAACAAACAGGCCCTAATGGGGAATGGCATAATAAACTGTCATCAGGCATTACAAAAACATTAATTTTTGCATGATTTTATCCGAACTACATACACATTGGGGCTGTTCATCCCTGACCAGAGAAATTAGCCATAGTACAATAACATGCATGTACAGCAAATCATTGCTTGAACCACCAAAAGGGTTTCCAGATTCAACCTCGCTCCACCCTCAAATTTGCAATACAGGCAATTTAAATAGTTCAATTCCTCCAATAACCGGACAGAAAGACTAGCAGCAGAGTTTACCTGGTTGGCATAACTTATCCCCATATTTGCCCAAGCTCGAACATAATTAGGTTTCAAATCAAGAGCCTGCAAACACAGAGAACATACGGGCGCGCGCGTGCGAGAGAGAGAGGGAGAGAGAGAGAGAATCAATCCCAGGTTAAGAAATAGGCTAAGATAAATTGAAAGCTTTATCTCAGAGGAACAATAGATGATCTCCTAAAGAAGCAAATCCATTTTGATGAGTATTTTTTCAGCCCACATTGATACTTAACAGTTCAAGTTATCTAGTTACCTACCTTTTTCATGCCTACATGTGCATGAGCAAGCAAGCACATGAAAGAAGTGCATGTACACACAGTGACATACAAACACAAGTCCATAGTTAAGATAGAAGAAGGAAGAACAGGTTAAGCAAAAGGTCTTCGAAAGAGATATCATGACTTCCAGAAACAGTGAGAACTCACTCCACATACATCAGACTTAGGATAGATAATGGTATGTGCAAATCCAGTTCCCGTGAAAACCCCATGGGCTTACCGTAGTAATTAAGAAATAGTGTGCATGTAGATTAAGCACACAGCACAAGTTCAACTCTGAACAACCCAAATGCAAACAATCATGTTTGGACCATTCACCCCAACTTCGACTAATATCTAGTCCATGAGATTAGCAAGGTTTTCACGGCCCAGGGTTATCCTTCTTAGGTGAATTTCCACGTCAAAAAAAGAAACATGGCTGTGATATTTCTTTGATAGCAGTCCAGATTTGCTATATAGCTGTTAGACATGGAAAGAATTGTTTCCTCCTTAATCAAAACTACAACGAAAATTTTAATGGTGCGCATCTCACTAATTTGCTTGTTCCATTTCCTCACATCTCACAATTGACACACTCACAAACCAAAAGTGATTATCCAAGCAAGATATATGGTCATATAAACCGCACCTTTTGATAAGCCAAGATTGCGTCAGCACTCTGAACACTGTTGGCTTGTGTTGCACCAAGTTTGTTCCAAAGTGAATAATCATTTGGCTTAAGTTTCAACGCCGTTTGGAAAGAGGCAATAGCTCTATCATATTCTCTCGACAAGTTATAAAGTACACCGAGTACGATGTGCACATCAGCATCCTCAGGAGACATTTGTGCAGCATCAGTAAACAATCTAGCAACCTGCTTGTGAAATAGAGAGCTTTTAATTTTCCACGTATTGATCACCAAATTTTGTCCAAACAGATACAAACTGTAAGGAATCTTGTATTGACACTTACATCAGCCTGATATAAAGACTCGGGCATATCAGGAGATGCCAGCGTTCCATACTTTGGATGATGACGCAGCCATCCGTGTAAATATCTCAGTGCAGCAGCCTGCTCCAGCTCTGCAATAGAAAATTACAATTATTAGGAACTATCCATAATCCGACACTTCTATTGCTTCTTGATCTTGTTCAAAAGAGAGATCCATGGAAAAAGACTTCTAATACTTGAACTTGCGACGACTCCAGTTCAATTGAATTAGAATTTTCAAACAAAACCTCAACTAGTGAAACAATCCACATACACAAAACTCAACTTGACTCAAATATCTAGAATCAACTTGTAGTCTCAAGTTGAAATGTGCTCAAGCTTGAACTCAAATTATCAAAGTGAAAAACAACTGAGAACCACATTATTTAATTTTCAATTTTCTTAAGTATTTGAACATGCTAAATATATAGATTTTCAACGACTCAAAGAAGCTCAGGAGCAGATCAAGTCACACTTGCCTTGAACTGGAGAAGAATAGAGCCAATCTTAGGTACCGAATAAGACAGAATTGAGTAATAACTACTAGGTCAAGTTCAAGGAGCTCGCAAATAGCTTCATCTACACTACTAAGTACAGGAAGAAAGCAGAGTCCCAACATGTAATTTATTAACTGATGAATCCTGCCATCGCCAAAATTAGCATTAAAAAGCATCCAGGTTTATTTGGTAACTTTTGCCATTAACTTTGCACCTACCATTCGTGTGACTGACACCAAGGGAAAGAAGCACTTCTAAATTAGTTGGATCAGCCTCCTGAGCTCGCATCATTGCTGCAATAGCCTGCATTGATTTTGTTTCAAGTTAATCCACAAGGTTCAGTTGAACAACTTAAGATCTCTGTCAAAACACATTGCCATTAATGAACTACTAGAAATATGTCGCACAGCTCATTTAAAAACACCCAGGGCCTTTGTTATTGCCAATAATCTCTATTTCCGCGTACTAAAGAATCTTAGCTATACACTCGCTGAAAGACTGATGAAATGGGAAGAATTAAGTAGAATGAGATACTTAGAAGTACTTGTGCTTAAAGCAGCTAATTGTCCCCCTATCAATTAGCTGGGATGACTGATTACCACAAAAATGCACCCAGCCAAAAGTACTTCAAATTACCAGTAAGAGTTGTGAAAAAATCTAGGTATACTACATACTAAAGAGGTACATCTTAAAAGTTTGGTATCTCCAATGGAAACAACTGGGTCAACAAGTCGTTTGACAAGCAGACGGTAGCTTTCTTGCGGAGTCTACAATAGACCAAACAAACTGAGGGGAAAAAGAGGTGTTTGAAGCAGGCAACAATTAATGTGCCTGAGGAAGCATCCTAAGCATAGGAACACACTTAATGACTTTAAAATACAGTAAGTTGAATAACCTGTTGATCATCATCATTCTCTGCATGTGCTATGCCAAGTAATCTCCAACCTTCAGCATTATCAGGATTTTTAAGAACTTCAGCCTCTAAAGCAAGAATTGCTTCACTCAGAAGCCCTTTGCGGAAGAGGTCTAGGCCTTCTTTTAAAGGATTAGGATGCCCAACATATGGATTCATATCTGAGAAAACATACACTCCCCTTGAACCATCTGACTGCTGCTTTTGCTCATTCCAGAACCTGAAAGATAAGACGACATAAATGTAAAAGGATGAACTCTGAAGATAGATAATTATGTTAAAAAAATAATTAAAATTATTTGAGTAGTGTAGTCATAAACATGGTTAATTACATGCTAGTGTCTCAGAGACTTTACATTCATTATTTAGAATTGCTGGAAACAAAAGCAACACTCAGATTTCAGACATGAAGGCAAAATCTCAAGGAAAGTCGAGTCAAAATAATGTCTTTGTCAAAACTGCTTCGAGGATAAACTGAAAAGAAAAACTTAGGAGAGGAGATACACATTTCAGAGTGTTCACTAGCTGTCATGACATGCAGGAATCTAAACTCTTTCTTTACAGGAATTTCTCAACCCATAATGACAATGCCTTTTCCCTCTGTCCCAAGTTTAACAGTGGCACGGCAGTATTGGGGAGACACATAACTATCTGATGAACAATTCACTTGGCTTTCCAGAAGATGGTGCCTCCACATAGTGAGATTACCATAATATTTAAGAAAGCAAAGGAGAAAACAATAAATGACAGTGAAACCATTTCCTTTTAACACATATCTTCAACAAGCACATGTATCATATTGGTAATTGACAAACATCAAATTTGCATTTCAATCCTACTTCGAAAGGCAATTTTTCCTTCACAAGGCATTGCATTTAGGCAATACTGCAAAGTACTTTTGAAAGATGTACTGCTAAGAATTAACTACTGTGCAAGGAAAAGTATCTTTAGCATGTACAGATATCAAGTTGTTAGTTTCAATTATCAACCTTTACCCTAAGGAAGTTAAGAAATTGATCAAATTTGCTTTCTACTGTCACATACAACATAAATAACTCACTCGTTATACGCATTTGCCCAGTCATCAGCTGTATTGTCTCCCAAACTCCCTTCAGCAACCTGCTGCCCAAATTCATCCGCCCAGTCATTAACATGCAACTTGGAGAATTCATTGACCCATTGATCATCTAGAGCTCCATTTGTCTCTCTTTCAGCAGCAAATTCATTAGCCCATTGATCGGGCCTACGATGGAGCTGGGTCAAAAAGGAACTAGAATAAGGCAATGATGTCTCATAAAGAAGGCAGCCCAACCATTTTGCGGATATTCTATTTTGCATATTAAATGCATCCTATAACATTAGTATGTCAACCAAACAATAGCACAAAATTTTCCCCCTAAGAAGATGCATCTAATAGGACTGATGTTAAATCGAAATGCTTCAGATTCCCTTGCTTGAGCACTGCACCCACGCGTTTGCTCTGCTTAAATGTTGTCACTTGAGAACATATGAAACAGTGAATGTACGTCGACTCTAACGATTATATTAAACAAGAACATGGAGGAAGGTTGCATGTAACCTAGATCAGCTCGTGACTCACATATTCATCAGCCCAAGAAGGACCTGCAGTGTACTGTTGCTGAAATTCTGATGCCCAGTCCCCGGGTGCAGGCTTTACTTGATTATCATCAATGATAAGTTCACCACGGCTCATCTTCGATACAAATTGAAGGAACTTTGAGTTCTGCAGAATGATGTTTGACATTTCAATTGACCAAAAACTTGATCATATAAATCACTCGTACAAATACTCATCTCAAAAAAATTGACAAGAAGATATGATCATTTAAAGAGAACATGGCAAAACATTTTGAAGGGCACTTCCAATATACAATCATAACATCCATAGGAAGGGTATGTTTGTTTTTCATTAATAGAAGTACAAATTCCTTTTCTTGGCTTTCCTGCTTCCCGCAACATTTAAAATATCATTCAAAGTCCAAAAAGTTACGAAAAAATTCTATGTAAATCTACGTATCAACATATGTATAGTATAAAAGTTTCAAGTGCTTTGCAATTAAGAAAAGTCAGAGTATAGGAGCCGCAAAAAGTAAAAGTCATTCTAGACAAACCAAAGTAAACTAGTTTTAACAACATTCATGGTACGATGCAGAACCAATACATAGCACCCTAATGAATAGGCACACTATATCATGAAAGTCATGCTATAAGTTGCCACTGGTACAACGTACTTTCATTAGTTTCATGGCTAATGAAAGTACAAAGGATCATTTCTTCAAAACAGAAGCAAAGGAACAAACCAAAAAGTATGACTTGGATGAGACACATGATATCCTTCCCAAGGACTAATGTTGAAATTCATTGCAAGTCCATAAGACCTAAATTTGCTCCTTCAAAGTTGATCTTTTGACTTTCAAGTTAATTGCAGCAGCAGCAGGAAAGTTTAATAGCTGAACACCTCGTAGCAACAGGTCACCCATTGGATGCAAGGTGAAACATTTGCCCACCAAAGAAGAGAATCAGCAGCTGTCTTATGATATTTTGTTGACAAAGGAGTCGAAAGTCACGTTCTCACTCCAAGTGCCACAAGAATGCATGTTCGATGTCACATTTCACTTCATTTCCACTAAAGAGCCAATCAAACACAAAAAAATGGAGGCTGCTCCAAACACTCTGAAAGCCTGCCTCACTAAGAGGCTGAACACATGATTATCCATTTACAAGCATTCATTGAGTGTTTTGAATGCACCCTCTATTGTCATGCCATTTAGTATACGAGTCTATGTAAACCTTTTGTATATGCAGCATCACTATGTACAAGGTACAGGTTGACATTCCAAACGAAAGGCCATAAGACGCTGATTTAAATTTTCAGCATCAGCCAATTCTACTTAGCACAGAAACGGCTTTCAGATGCTCATTTCAAAATTTCGAGGTGAAGACAGTCTTCAAAAAACAATGCAGCTAGCTATAAGCCTTCAAAATTTATGCAATAGCATAATAACACCATTTCAAAAAAGAGAAGCATCACCAATCAGATAGCATCCCAACCTAATGCACGATAAAAAATGACATTCTTGATGACGCCAAAACTTAAATGAAGAAGAGATAAAGGCAACAGATAAGTGAAGTATTCAAGATTAACGTTATGAACCTGAAACTTGGGATCTTCATTTTGTGCTAATGTGTGAGCAAGCATTCGAGTCTGCTCCATCGCTGCTAAATTAGGGACGTTGACACCCCCCATTTGATCAACAGTAGCTAACTGAGAATATTGCTGTAGCCACAACAAGTTTTCATTATGACTTTTTAGAAAGAAGGATTATGCAGCTAGATTAATGGACTACTCATCCTTCTAGATCAAATTATATGAGTGTACAAGGAATGGACACATGGACAAGTTCAGTTAAGATGATCTTTCTCATCCACATTCGCTAAACTAAAACCACACAAGAATTTACATACTGAATCAAAATCTAATCCTTTTATCAGAAAAAGAATCAAGATAGCCCTGTTCAGAATAGTTTTCCTTCTTAATTTTGATTTGAGTCTAGAATTCAGTTTCTTTGGAGCTTTGAAATACTGCAAAAGTATATTCAATAATGCATAACCGTTGCTTTTGCATGTAACATCTAAGTCAAGGACGAGATTATCCATGAAGTTTAGTCTGACTTTAATACAAGTTAAATTATTCCTTGCCTGTTCAAACTCAGAAGCCCAACCATTAGCACCATGTTGTTGCTCAAAAGAATTGACCCAAGCATCGGGACCACTGTGCTCCCCTCGGTGTGGGTTAAATTCTACGGCCCATGCATCACCAACATGGGGACCAGGTTTCATCATACCCTGTGACTCATTCCAATAATCCTCCAATTCCCGAAATCTCCCAGGCAGAGGTCCCTTGCCGCGAACATCACTGTCAATATCTAAGGAGTGCAATAGTGCATTCACCTAAAAGTGAGGGAAAAGAAAAAGAAACCGGTAAATGCCAAGCAAAGAGGAAAATAACAGGAAAGAATACGCAAGTGAAACCAAATTTAGGAGGTGAAGCAAGAGAAAATGAAGAAAGGTCAACGCAGTCTGTCATGAAGAAGGGCTGCAAATCATGCATACAGTTTAGATTCTATAAAGAAAGGTTGAAAGATCTAAAAAATTAATACATAGAAAGATTAACAGCATACAATACTCAAGGTGCATTTGTGGCAAAGACAGACTAAATGACCAAACAAATGAGGGGACCATTTATTTACAAAAAACCCATGTCGTATATTATCAGAGAAAACATGTTTGACACTACCAACTGAGAATAAATAATAACAGTCAAATGCATCTAAACAACCGAAAATTGCACATACCTGTTCATTGACGAAATCTTCACTCTTATCTGCGAAGAAGTGCCGTGCCATTATAGTGCTGCGATCACGTATGCATTGCTTATCACCCTCGGACAACCCTAACAACGGAAGTTGGGCAGGACGAAAAGGGAGACCACCACGGCTACTGTCAACAAACGAGTGCAGAACTCCAGACAACACTCTCTGAGGTGGCCCTGCAATATGATCGAGAGAGTAAGACACCAAGATAGACACCCCAAAATACCAAAAACAAAATCTTTATAAATCTAGTAATAAGCATTTCTGGGCCTGTCCCATCTAATCTGCATATAGTATGTAGAAGTTCTGAGAAATAATCTTTCTGCATTTAAATATCCAGGCGGTCCCAAGATCCAATTTTTTAGATGGTCTTCCACCGTTATCAGCTAGCCTAACTTATGAAAATTCACATTGCACAAGGATGCATGCTTAGATAAACAGTAGAAATCACTCACATATTACCAGTGGTTTACACCTGTGAGAGCAGTACCAGTATTTCACAACACCAGATCGCCAAACTTCTCTGAAGAATTCTTAAATCTCAGAGTCAATTCAAGCACAACACTTTATGCAAGTCCTAGTTTTCTCTTCAAAACACAAACGGCAATTATGAAACAGGAACTGCATTCCTCTGCAGCATTAGTTTTCTTCCCTCCAATTTACTGTACACCACTTTATCGTAGCATCATATAATTCAGTGACAAACATGGATGAAGAAAGCCTAATTCTCTTTTTGATCATTTCACTGTTTTTAGAAACTACAAAGAGCAGTGAACAAAACAAAAAGTAGATTGACCATTTCAGTCGGAACAAGGGTGAAAGTGAAGTAAACAGAAGATAACAAAGATGCAGCATGTCCGCATTATAAATCCAGAGATGGAGAAAATAAAAAATCACCATCTAGGGTAGGTTGAATCTGAGGATTCATGCCAACCCTCAAGTCATGGGGAACGGAAGGGACACTAGCTTGTTGTATCTCATCCCAAGCATCCGCAAACCCACCATGCTCCGCAGCGTGAAAACGACGGAGGAATTCAGATCCCTGACAACACCAAATGAAATAAATCAGCACCCGGATATTCAACAGAAAGCTTCCTCATTTCTTTAATGTTTCAAAAGTAGAAAACCTGGGCATTGGCTGGCAAAAGAGAGTGATCGGATTCCGAGCCAGGAATCGCTCGCAGACGATCCTCTGGCTGCGCAAAAAACTGGCTCCCAGCTGCCGGAGTTGTTGTAGGAATCTCCTTCAGCCTCTCCTGTCGAGACAAATAACCAGTCCGAGTCAGTCTCCGAGCGAAGCGGTTAGCACAGCAGAACCACAACTGCTACTTCACCTCCTACTCTGCCAATCATCAGTTCACATATCCAGACAATCACTTATAAGCTAAATCCCACTGAAAGGATTATTAACACCATCGCGAGCGAGTACTTTTCATCTCAAACGGCTTAATCCCAATACACACACAACAAGTCCGCAAGAATTCAACCGATCGATAGAGCAATAACGGGGCCTCACAACGACAATTCAACACTAGCAGGGCACTCGCCCGGAGCCCCAGCAGCAATCAATTAGCGAGACAAGACCCAATTCGTGCCAATCAACTCAAAAGCAGCCGCAACCGGTGCACCTCGGCCATAACCGCCGCGACAAAACCCGGGGAGAAACCCCGCCATCAAGTGAACAAAAGGAACAGGAGACAAGGAGGACCCTCAAAGCAGCATGAGCAACCGAACAGGAATTGGAGGACCTGTGTTTTGGAAGAGGAGCCGACGAGGGCGTTGGCGAGGGCGCCGAAGGGGTTCGAAGAAGCGGAGGGGTCGCAGTTGGCCGCCCCGGTCACGAGGTCCCGCATCGCCATGCCGCCGCCGCCGGATTAGCTACCGATCGCCCCTGGCGTCCCCCCGTCCCCCGCCTCCCCTTTTCTCCGCCGATTTCACACCCGCACACGCCGGCGCTCGCGCACGCGCACGCGCACTGAGGAGCTGAGCTGCGATTACCGGCTGCGGAGCGAAGAAGGTGATGATGGAGGTTCTTCGCCACGACTGAGGAGAGAGAGATAGAGAGGGAGAGGATCGTCAACCAGAACCAGGAAGAAGATCTCTCTTTCCGTCCTGCCTTTTTCTTGCTGGGGTCAGAAGGGGGAAATAATAAAAAAATAATAATAATAATAACGATGGTGATGATTTACGTGGAAAAAGATAATGTATTTGCCTGCCGGCTTCACACATTTTTAGGCGGTTTTCAATTTATTCATTTGTTTGTTTATCTCGTGCAATTGGTAGGTAGGTTTATTATTTTTTTTAAAGGAAATAAATTGATTTGTTTTCTTTTTTTCTTTTTGGTATGTGCAGGTGCAGGTGCAAATTGCGAGCCCATTGATTTTCTTCAATTACCGAGATGAGAGGCGGGTCTTGATAAGAAGAGCCCCCCGTGTTTTGTGCTTGGATTTGGTAGGACGCTATCTACATTTTTTGTGAGTTGGGCTCGTACTTGTCGTTAGTAAAAAGCTATTTGATATAGTTTTTATTCTCCATGTCGGTTTCAACTGTTGAAAGAAGCATTGTAAATGTTGTAAAGTGTATAACAAACATATGGTACCTGTATCATCCACAAAATTGTAATAGCTTATTATTGCTAGACAGCTACATATGCGATCATGAGACTTGGCGCGCCCCCCATAGACCATTCTCGTGCCACAATGGCCCGATGCACTTTTAGGCGGGCCTAGACATGGGCTTATAGTTATACTTGCTAGGCCTATCTATCTAGGGTGGCGTATACATACATACATACATACATACATACATTCTTGATGGGCGTGTTTGGGTAACATTTTAGTCGAATTTGAGGGCCCTGGGCCGTCTTGTTGATCATCATCTTTTCTCTCGTTAGCCTTGAAGGAAGTTGCCACACATTAAGGTGCTGCAATGTTAATATATGCATTGCCCAACATAGTGCAATTACTGTTATATCAAACAGGCTTCCGGTGTCATATCCAGAGCCATAATAAAAATGAAAGCTGTGGCTTATCATTGTATTTTCTGATAAAGAAAAATGAAAACACGAGTTTGTAACCATGTGTGCATATGCGACCATGCACTTTTTTAAGCCGTGAAAATGGATGCCATAGCTCTTCTAAGGCATTTGACAAACATCTCACCGTTGCATTATCTCCATAGTTACAAAAACTTATAGTAATTGTTAGGAAGCTAATTCACCCAATTTTTATTTGTTGCAAATTTAGAACATGCATTACTAGTAACTGGTTTTACGAGAATTACTTTCCATGTAGAGGAATTACTGATCACTAAGAACTTGACTAATAACTACAAAATACTTCCAAAATAGAAAAGTTTCTAACCACTAGTCAAAATTACTATCCGCCAACAGAAAAAAAACATACTACTGCTGTTGAGAAATTATAAATTAATGCAAAAGAATTACTTCTTGTGACATTCTCAAATTTATCCAAAAATTTCAAAAGTTACTATATCTAATAACTACTTTGGAAAGTTACTAAAAAAATTTAAAATTTTCTAATCTGTTGTAAAAATAAAACGTGCTTTCAAAATAAAGAAAAATATCATCAAATGTGAGGAGCTTGCTTTCAACCCTATGATGTTGGGAAAATAACACTAAAAGTACTATACGAAACGTATGACGCTCACTTTAGTGCTAAAACCTTTTGAACAATTACTTAAGTGCCAATATTGGTTAAAGAACGATCACTTAGTGCCTCCGACGATTCATCCTACGTAGTTTTTTTATTTTATTTTTACTCCGACGTAACTTTTTTTTTATGATGCTCCAATTATTGTTCGCCGCAGCTTGGAATGATGAAATTTCAAGCACGGGCAAAGAAAGGACCCATTCCTCAAGCTTGGAGTACGAAGAGGAGCCCTTACGGTGAAGATCGGACCATGAGTGGATGTTGAAGACAAGGCTTTGTGGTGAAAATGAAGACGAGGCCAGCGAAACACATCGGTTGAATCCACATCCTTGCAGGACCACGTGGAGATCTTGAAGACTGTGACACAGCCGATGGACGATATATGCGCCCAATGATCCCATCTTCAACAACCATGGCAAGCTTTACATAATGCCCCTTCGCTTGTCCCGTTTTAAAAATCACCTTTAACCAGAACACCAATCACTCAATTCTTGATTTTTTGCGCAAAAAACAAAGGACAAAGACCAACATGAATTGCAATTTCTTAGGTTTTTCAGCATCCGTAACGATTCCTACAAGATCATCATCCTCGCTTGAAGGAAGATATTTAACCCAAATCACACTTGTCCTCATTTTTCCAATCTACGTCATCTTCTTTGCCCACTTAAGTATTGTAACTCCTCTTCTTCAATGACCTCGACCTGCTTTTTTCGGCTCTCATTCACTCCCTTGTGGATAATCATTTGCAATTTGTAATTTCAATGAATAGGGTTAGGGTTTGTTTTTTTGCCCTAATTTTACCACAATTTGTCAATTTGAGAAAAAAACAAGGGTCAACGACATCGTTTTTGCTCATTGAAATTCTCTGACGAGCCACATCAGCCAATTTTTAATAAACTAATGCCACGTCGGATTTCCAACATCCCAAATCGAAGTTGACACTTGAATAATCGCTTATTTTTTTTACTAAAGTGGCATTGAAATACTACATCGGAATGTTTTAACACTAAAGTGAGCATCGTAAAAATTGTTATGATACGCTTAGTTACCTTTTCCCCTATAATAGATTAACAAAAGCATTTTCATATAAATAGTTATTGAAGGTAATGTGAGGTACTAACACTTTATATAGTTTCAAAGTACTTGTGCCTTTGCAAATTACTGCAAGCCGTAAAAATTTATAAATAGCTAGTACAAGAGCGCGTACTTTCTTTACAAATAATTTACTTACCAATGTAGAAAAAATTACATCTCATTACAAATTGGAACTTGTTTTTTGACTTCGTGAAGTTACTACAAGCGTCGAAATATTACAAAAAGTAATGGAGAAAATTACTACAACACATATAAAACTTCCTTCAGGTGGTATGCTGATAAAATTACACTTTTATAACCAAAAATTACCAAAAACTTACTATGGGTGTGTTTGGTTCAGCATTTCCAAGAGGTCATTTCCAAGAGGTTTTAGAGGAATGCAAATACTTTAACTTAAGGGTTAATACCACGAAAAACCCCAAACTGGTATATTTGTAACAAATTTACTTCAAACTATTTTTTTAACCACAAAAAACTCCAAACTGGTACACTTGTGATAATTTTGCCTCGAACTAATTTTTTGACCACCAAAATCCCCACACTGGCACACCTTTGATAATTTTACCCTGAACTAATTTTTTGACCATAAAAAATCCTAAACCGGTACACCTGTGATAAATTTACCCTCCATTAGTTTCCATTAAATTTTACTGTTAAATTGCTAAGTTTGATGGTAGTAGACGGGTGTACCAGTTTGGAGTTTTACCCCTTTGTTTGCCACAAGTTTATCAATTTGTGATTTTTCGTCATATTAATCTAATTTAACGGATACTAACGGAGGGTAAATTTATCACAAATGTATCGATTTGGGGTTTTTAGTGGTAAAAAAATTAGTTTTTGATAAAATTATCACAGGTGTACCAGTTTGGGGTTTTTGGTGGTCAAAAAATTAGTTCGGGGTAAAATTGTCACAGGTGTATCAGTGTGGGATTTTTGGTGGTCAAAAAAATAGTTCGGGGAAAATTTATCACAGATGTACCAATTTAGGGTTTTTCGTGGTATTAACCCTTAACTTAAAGCCCCTTGGGAAATTGTAAATTGCGTTTGGTAAAAAAATTCTTTGTGAAGCTACTTTGGCCTAAGTAGTATTTGGCAAATATTATTTTGCAAAGGGCTTTGGGATTTTTTTATTAAAAAAAAAAGCTTACCCATCACCAGAGCCGTTAATGGGCTACGATCACTAGCGCCCGAGGTTGAGCGACCCTGGTGAGGGTTGTGCGACCCAGGCAGCTCTCGCCGGCCTCGCGCGACCCTAAGCATCCTCAAGCAACCATCACAGGGGTCAGGCGACCCCGCCGGTCCCTCGCCGGCCTCTCACCAGCGCTTTGTCGTCCCAATTTGGCTTTAGGCGGCTCTGGCCGACTTCCCTCAGCCCAAAGAAGATGACCAAGCGCAAGGGGCAAAATTGGAATATTAAAGATTTAGTGAGGGTAGTTTGAGAAGAAAAAAAAATTGATTTCAGCATTAGGCAAATGATGAAAGCTCGAAGCTAGTCCAGACCAGCCTTGGACTTTCAGCATTCCCAATGCTGGCTTTCGACCGAAAGCCCATTGGAAATGCTCGTAAAAGCATTTCCCCAAGGAGCTTTTGAGGCCGAAAACCCTTTGGGAATGTTGAACCAAACGCATCCTATGTATCTTATAAATTTACGTTTAACTTTGGAAAGTTACTAAAAGGGTTAAAGGATTACTGATAGCTCGTGTAACAGCACTTAATTTTACAATTGAGCAAGTACTAACAAACGTAATACAACAATTAAACTTACTCATAGAATGTAAGTTACTAAAACATGTAACAATTCCAATAGTATGCTAACAAAGTAGGAAATAAAGCATACGAGATGCATTAACTAGCAATCATAAGTATAAGTGAACTTTGTTAAACATGACTACAAGAAATCCAATTTTGGAATGCTTATTCAATTAACTATGGGAAAAATTATCTAATCAGTCATAAACCTATTGTATGAATGTGAATTCAATCCTAAATTTTTTAATTTTGCCAATTTAATTCTAAACATTTGCATGAAATTCCAAGGTAGTTATTCAAACTAATTTTCATCGGAAATCGCTGACGTGGCGATGGCAGTATGTGACGCCCCAGAACGTCACGTACAACATGTGTCCTTTCAGATTATTACTTATAATTATTATAAGCATGCAGAAGCAGAACAAAATTTTTACAACACCCCATACAAAAAATCGCACGAGTTACATATATACTCCTTTATATTAACGGCACTAGTTACCAACACATTCAATTCATTACAACAATCCTAGGAAGAAGGTCGGGTCCACTAGTACCACTACTCAT